TCTTGATCTCCATGGCTATATTGTATCCCTGATCTTTTGGAGAGCTTTGTATATTCTATTTGGTCTCTCCAAGTTACCATTGATGATAGTCGACTCTTCTTATAGGTTGTAGTTATTAGAACAAGATTTATTCATGACATATTCTCTTTTGGTTTTGATGATAACAAAGTATTGAAAGAACAATGGTTTATTTGATGTGTGTTTTATTTATGTAGGTTCTACATTATTGTATATAAATAATCATAATCTATGTTACATGAACACACTTGGGAGTTGCTTCATTGCTAGCTTCTGGTGGCAGAGTCTGAAGAACAATTGCTAGTGTGGCTTGACGCAGACTCCAAGCTGAAGGTCTCAGCATTCAGATGAGTTGCTACACTTGGTAATTGTATATTGGCATCTGGTATCATTCAGAGTTGGTGATAAAGTTGTGGTTGTCCGTACTGTAGAAAGCAAGTTATATTGTCTTATCAGCTTGTCATTTAGAGTATACAAGATTGCAAGGCTCAAAAAAGGTTGACATGCTCTACGGATATCTGCTCTCAACGACTCTATCAATACAGAACCTCTTGAAGACTCAAAGGTTAAACGTGTTACACACTGAATTCAGAATCTGCTGTGAGTCCATCTTCAATGTCTCTTGTAATATGGGGAAAAGACAAAGATACACGATCAAGTTACCTCTTCAATGGCTAGTTTCTGCAATGGCTATAAATATGGCTGAAGATTCAAGTTTGAATTTTTAACAAGGATTCTCCATACAAAGGAGTAGCAAGATCAAGCAATTATCAACTCTAATGTAATATGCAAATTTTCTATTATAGGTTGTAATTGTAAAATCCTTAAGATTTCTCACCATTGAATATCTTAGAAATATTAAGAGCTTTAGGTCTTTATTATGGTGATTTCCCGTACCTCTGATGCTTGTATCATGTACACCTTGTTCCCTATTCTACTAAGCCTTCAGTAGTTTAGATTAAGTCTCTTACTATGTACTTGAGCAGAAGTCTTGTCTCATTGAGATTCAAGCAACAAGTCTCAATCCAAGATGCTTGAGCTACGTAAGCTTATTGCTATATGCTTGAGCTGTAAGAGTCTTAATCAGCAAGGCTGATTGAGCAGAAGTCTTGAGCCCAGATGCTTAAGCCACATAAGTCTCATTGCTTAAGTGTTTGAGTTGTGAAAGTCTTATTCAACTAGGCTGATTTAGCAAAGGGAAAGTCTCCATCTGAGAGGCGTGAGCAGGAAGTCTCAAGTGCTGCTTGAGCAAGGAAGTTTCAATTTAGATGGCCAGAAGAGTAGGTGGCTCGGTCAGAGGATGTGAGCAAGGAAGTCTCAGTCTGGATGGCTAGAAGAGCAGGTGGCTCGGTCAGAGGATGTACGCAGAAGTCTTAGACATGTGCTATAAGCAAGAAAGTCTTGGAAAGTTGATCTGAGGAAGTGTAAAAGACTTATGCAGAAGCATAAGCGATTATAATCATGAAGTGGTTATAATGAAAATCTCTTGTGAGGGAAGGAACTGAAGTACTCTCAGTTAAGGGAGGAACCATGATAAATCTTTTGTGTCTTCTGATGTTATTTGTTTACTTCTGTTATATCTACTGCCAATGAATTAAAACAAAATCTGAACACCAATTTTGATTCTGAAACTCTGATCAGAAGTTAAATTAAAGAAAACGCAAAAAACAATTCAACCCCCTCTTCTTGTGTACTTTTCGCACCTTTAGTGATATTTAAGTTTGAGATGGACTGGTGAGGCAACAAGGTTTAACATGGTCGCAAAAGGGTCGTCCCAAGATGCAACTGTAGACACTCCTATAAAGAACAACAAGAAATTGAGAATTTACTGCTCGGATGTCTTCTCCACTGCCAACGAAAACTATTAGTTCCACATATCCCCAGGGATGGGTTGCGGTTCTGTTGAATGCTCAAAGGTTTGAGCCTTCATATGGCAGCAAGCTACTTTGGTCCAGGTCCATTTTCTCGAATAACTCTGAGTACACGATGTCACAGAGAATTTCTCCGTCGATGAGGATCCATACACGTCAAACTTCCCAAATATGGTGATGATCACGAGGGAAAAATATTATTTTGAATACCTCCAACTTTTTCTGAGTCTCGAAATCCCAACATATGATGATCAAATTTTTTTGCTGACGTACTTCTTTCCTTGTGGTAGACATCCATCATCTCTGTGATCTTCCTCTTCATCGTTCCTTTGGAAGGGAGATTTTCGTGAGGTGATCCTTTTGTAATGGAAATAATGTATGGGTTCTTTCCTTTGTTGGCCTATTTGCTCTCCTTGCCTATCCTCGGTGTGGTGGTCTTTAAGGGAGATTTACCCCCAAGAGGCTCTTCTCTGTCTTGCTTGCTTCCCTTCATGAATTTAGCCTACCGACCTCTCTTTATCAATTTTTTGATGGTATCCTTCAGCTGGAAGCATTCATCAGTGTGCGATCGTGACTTTTATGGAACTGACAATATTTGTATCTGTTCGTTCAAGATGTCTCTCTTATATGGGATAATGGGGGTTAGGTTCCTGCCTTCCAAAAATTTGTGTTCACATAGTCTTGATAGATCCTTCCACGAGAGACCGTCAGTAGGATGTATCTATCATACTTCCCTTGCATGTTTCGGTTAGAATCATCCCAACGTCGATGATGCTCTTTCCTGGATGGGGAACCGAAGTGAGATTCATTAGATGCGGGGTTATCAAAATGTGTGGTCAATTTCTCTTCCAAAATCATAAAACGTTCGACCATGGTCAACATTTGTTGGACGAATTTGACCTTCATCTTCCCAAACTTTTGCTTGAAAGGATGATCGCTTATGAGGTCGTTCTAAAAAATCTAGCACTAAAGGAATTCTTGATCCCTGTCTACCTTCATCGAGACTTGCGTAAATCGATCAATATACTATCTCAAACTTTCTTCCTATGAACAGTCCTAATTAGAGTGGCCTCGGTGATCGGATGTCGCTTCTAGATCATGAATTGCATCGAAAACATCTTACATAATTCCGCTCAAGAATAAACACATCCATCGGGTAGGCCGTTGAACCATAATTGAATTGGTCTGATCAAGGTTAACGCAAACAACTCGCACTTAGAGGCATCACCGACACTAAAATAACTCAATTGTTTGCCTACAAGTTGCACTTGTTCATCAGGATCTCCCTTTCTGTCATAATAGGTTAGTTTGGGCGATTGTTACATAGACTTTGGGATCATGCTTTCCAAAATTGATACTAACAGCGGGTGTTTTTGGTGCACCTTATCCGAGTGAAGATTTGCTTGAACTGAGGTGGGAGCATGACTCCCCCGGTCTCCTCCGGGGCTTAGAGGAGGAGTCTAATGATTTTTACTTATGCGTTAATCCTTTGATTGAAGGTCTTCATCTCTTTTTGTCCTGTTGGCTCCGGGATGGCAATGTGAGTAACTCTTGAAGAAATTTGTTGAATTGTACTTTTAGGAGAATGAGCGTTGTGAAGGCTCTTTTTAAGGTGTTGAAGCGTTTCTTCGATAGCATGTGAGTTTTGTTGTCGAACAATGTTAAACACATTGTTCAGTAGCTCTTGGCGTTTTGTACACTAAGGTGATGTTTGCTTGTAGCGTGTGAAATCCAAGTAAGGCTTCATATTATGTAGCTGAAAGTGAAACAGGAATTTCTACTGGATTGACTTGAATTGATCTGGCTACTTGTGAAGCTCGAACTAGATCTAGATGTGGAGAAACTACCACTCTAGGATCTACGACGTTCTACGGCGAAGGAAAAGGCGTGCCACTCTAGGATCTACGACGTTCTACGGCGAAGGAAAAGGCGATTGATTACTTGCTGCTAAGGCAGCAATGATAACTTTTAGTACAACGACGGATCTAGTAGCCTTAGATCCGACCATCTCTGTTGAAGGGGGAAATCGATGATCTGAAATCTCAAAAAAATGAGACTGAAATTGTGCTAAGTCGAATTAGAATATGATAAATCACCATGTTCGATTACGAGTATTTACTCTGGTGATCGAAAAGAGTTACGAAGTGCGAAAGTTGAATAACGAATGTGAACTTGTGAAAATCGTAGGAATCAAGAGTTGATTCCCACAAACACCGCCATTGTTCCGTTTTGGAACAAAAACTCATAAATGAGAAAATAACAAATTATCTATTTGCTCGTCGTTCTTTGTGAATGATTGTTGGACATGCTTTACGGTTGAGAACTATTGGGATCATAAAAGTAACTATCCCCGATGTTTAGGAAGATTCTTGATGGAGTGGAACCTTTATCAGATTGCAGGCCGAGTCGGTATGGTCGACTTAGGTCGTTTAGGGTCTTTTTGATCGGCACATAACAAATTTCAAATTTTCAAAAAAAAAAAATCACTTAATTTTGAAGCTATTTAAAATAACTTTTTTATAAAAGTCATTTTTGAGATGCAACTTTTTAAAAAAATTACGATTTCAACTATGTTTTGATTTTCAATAATGTATGTTTATATTATATAATGTTAAAATTAGTCTTTCAATTTTGAAAAAACAAATTTAATAAAATTTGAAATATTTTTTAAAAAATCATTTTCAAAAATACTAAGAAAAAATATATTTTCTTTAAAGCTAAAATGATCATATCCTTAATGAGTTGCCTGAAAAATAATTCAGATAGTTCACTGGTTTTCATATTAAACCAGCCAATCCAATCTGTTTTTTTCAACCATGCATGAGTAAAATGAAGAAGAAAGTCCTACAAACTTTTAATGAATCTTTGTAATCATAAACTCACCTCTAAATGTCATTATATTCCATTAAATAAACAAAATTTAATACAAAGTTATAGAAATATAATAAACCACTGGCACTGTATCAGCATCAACTAAAAAACTAAAAAGGAAAATCTACATATCACAAAAGAACTCAAAAGATTGATTCTCTGTGCAAAAAATGCTTGGCTATTGTTTCTAGTGTGAAGGGAAAAAAATAAATAATCAAAAGAAAAAGGAGAATATGTGAATCAATAGTTTAACAAGGAGTACTTTATCCTCAGTACAATTTTTCCTTTTTCTACTCCAAGCTTAGCACCTGTAACTAACCAATGACCAGGAATATCTTGCGGCCCTTTCGACATTTCCGTCATGTCCACAATTTTTGCGAGTTTTCCACTATGGACCGAACTATCTTCCTTTTTCTCGTCAGAAGTTTTCTTTGTGGATGACGATGAAGCGCTGTCTGATTTGTGTGTAACTGCCGGAGTGGAAGGGTTATGATCCCACACTGATCGCCTTATGGTGCATCCCGGTACCTTAGAGAAAAGTAGTTTGAGATGTAATACATTTTTGGCACCAAAGTCCCAAACGCCGAGTTGGGCCCCGGTGACAATATGAACGCCAGAGAGGTCTCCAATGTTGGTTTCAGTTATCTCAATTGGTGCAGTGCTTACGTGCGAGAAGTTCTTCCATTTGATCGGCTCAAACCAACGGCTGTCTTGCTCCTCGGGACCTTGCCATTTTGGAGCACCGATTGCCATGTGTGCATCCCAGTGGGGTTGAAGGTTTTTTGGGAGTGAGACTAAATGTTGCAAATGAATTGCGAGTCGGTTTAGTTTGCTTCCTTCTAGGCTCAGCCTTAGTCCGGTCACGGGTTTGCGCCCAACTGTTACCTGATCTGGACTGATATAAAGCTTAGGTCCCATTAAACTGAACTGAAGAGATTGACAGACAGGCTCTTTTCTTTGTAGATTATTCTGCTCCGGTGCCCAAACTCGAGTTATTTGGAAATCCAAGAAATACTGTAAGTCTTCGATAGGAGGCTTGTCTGTTTAATTTAACAGACGGGTCGATTATTATATACTTTCAAAACTCACATCAATAACTATTGCCAACAGTCATAATCATGAAAATCAAATTCGCGGCAATAATAACTGAATTAGAACTTACACTCGAGATATAAATCAATAGCACGGGTCAAAAGTTTTACACCGGGTACTCCTTCGAGAAGAGAAACAATGGGTGTAAACTTCATGTTAATGATGTCTGGTGCCAATTTTACAGTTTCCACCCATTTAGTATGACTTTGCTCAAGATCGTCCCCTCCTCTTCGCCTAAAAATTACAGTAACATCCTGCAGCAACGTTACGAAAGATCGCTACGCTGAGATTTGTAGAGTAACAAAGTCTATGTACTAAATAAGTGACTGAATAATTTCCTATACTAACCTTCTCCTTGTACTTCAAAGCAGCGGGTCCTGACGAGTTTTTCGCATCGAGAAACCTATCATTTTCAATGTCCTTCACGTAATTTTCAATGTCTGGTGCAGTCAAAGAAGACGATTGGTGCTGCCTGATATACACGACGTCTCTTCCACCAACCGTTGCAGATGTAACAATATGTGTACCATAATTCTCAATAAAACTGAGAAGAAACAGAAGAAGCTACCGATTAGAACTTGATTCTACACATCACATCAAGCAAATAGAATATATAAAAAACTTAGTTTACCTAGCCAAGGACACTGGATCCCAAGAGTAAGGAACGGCGCGTCTTACTTCCTCATTCAATACCAAATTAGGTTTAGTTAGTTTAACTTCAAACAGTGGAATGAAATATCCAACCATGGCAAGTGATTTGGTGGCTGCTGCATCGACCGTCGAGGAGCCAATAAAATTAAACATAGAATTAAAGCTTCCGAGTGGAATTTTTTCCTTTATGCCAGATCTCTCATTGAAATATTTCGCCATCTGAAAAATTCAGTCATCGCATAAGGTCACCAACATACAATGCATGGTAGTCAGAGAAACGGAACTATCTCTTTTGTGCATAAGAAAAACCAAAGTAAGCCACAATAAATAATGCATATCTTATACAAAAAAATGGTGGTCCATGGCAGAGAGCCAAAATCCCGTCATACCAGCCGCCATAGCAGAAAAACCTACAATATCGACTGATATTTACCATTGCGGCGAGCCTAAAAACTGCCACTAATAACCGCCATGGCCGAAATCCAATAACATAACCACAATAAGTTGAAACTTTGTTGGAAATCAACATCAAGTTAATGCATTGAGAGCTTGGCTCAACTGTTCATAATTGCTTATTACCAATGCAGAGTCTAATTCAAGTCAGATTTGCTATTATCTTTTTTTTTTTTAAAACACACTATCCGGCCTAGGATTGACTAATCCGAGGGAGATCCCACCACCCACTTACAGAGGTCCCATTTAAAACCAGAGTTTTGCTCTATATGAATTGGTCCAACACAAGAATTGTTAGCACCTGACAGAGATTCGAACTTAACTCCTTAAGAGAAGCACATTCTTAAGACTCAAGTCTTCACTAACAGGCCAACCCCCTGGGGATTAGATTTGCTATTATCTAATCTTGCATTGTACATTCCTAACAAAAGATTTCAAGCAATGCATCAATCTAGAACATGCTAAGAAACAGAAATCCCAAGTCATTGAATTCAGCAATTCATTTAGAAAACACATTGCAACAAATTGAAATCACAAACCAAGGCAAAAACAAATGAATAAACATGGAAAATTCTTCTTCATGAGGGTAATTCCCCTATCAAGCAATCAACAAAACAAATAAAAAATCAAGAAACAAAAAGAATCACCTCTTGGAAACTACACACAGGTGTCTTCTCAACACCACTCTTCCCCGGAGAGAAATCAATGTCCGCAGAAACATCAGGAACAACAAGTTCTCTTGACAGAACAAGATCCCTACTATGTTCCTCATCAAGATGAACAAGCCTAGACCCAGGTGCCCCTTTACAATAAAGAAGCCTAATATCTGATGTAACATCAAAACCACGACCTAAAGCTTGGATTGAGTTACCAAGAGTTGCAGAGAGAGAATCAGAATTTGTTGATGGAGTTGGGTTTTCCATAGTCAATGAAGAAGTAGATTGATTAAAGAACAATATAGCATTTGTTATTAGAAAAAGTGAAGTGGGTTTGAATTGAATGAATAGGTTGGACCTTGTTGGTGAGGTTTGAAGTTGTTGTTGTTTTTGTTCTTGTTTGTTCGAAAAAGGTATAGAAAGTATTGGGTTTTGTTTGACTGTAACAACAACATTAAATAATGTTTTGTTTGAAAAACGCGTTTTTGAAGTGATTTGTAGGGACCATAACATAGTACATCGACATGGTTGAGAGGAGGTTTCTCAATTCCTTATATGAGGAGTTTTTTTTTTTTTGGTTGTGTGTGTGAGATTATGAAGAGGTTTTGGTATTTTTGACAAATTGGGAGATTCTTAGTTGACTGGTCCTTTTTGGAATGTGAGAGGTTTTTGTTTCTTAGATGGGTTTTTAGGTTTTTTTTTTATATAAAAAATAATGTGAAATGATGGTGTCACACTATAAAATAAGAAGGATTTTATGGCTTAAAGAATATTTTAAAAAAAGTTTATTTAATAAAATATAAATTAATATCAAAAATAGTTGAAAATGACAATTTATGAAATAACAACCTACTCTAATGAAAAAAGGAGCTCATCGACATTATCCTAAATTTGATAGAAGTTCAAACCTAAAAAAAAATGTGAGCTTGTCATTCTCACTCTGAAGGTTGAAGTCATGATTTGCTTTAAGAAATTGAAAAATGAATCAATCAACTCATAGGTAGGGAGTGCTCCACAAGAGGTTTATCACTCATTTCACAGCATCCCGAAGAAAATTAATGTTAGTGAAAAGTTTGGGCTCAGTTGGGCATGAAAAAGGCTCATCTTTGTGATCTTGCATTGAAAGCTTCAAGAAAGTGTTGAGGAAGAAATGAGTAAGTATTTGTTAAGTCTCGAACTCCAACAAGGATCCAAGTTCACATAAAGCATCGGGATTAAAGCCACAAAAACTTTTGACAATCTACTAGCAAGAGCTGAAAAAATACATACAGTATGAGAAAAAAATAGTCATCAGTAGGTGATATATGAAGGAAATACAAAGGAAATTCATAAAAGGTTAAGGTAGGTAAAATAGCTGAGGTAGAGTACAAAGAGGATGAACGAAGGAAAGAATAACACGTTGTTAGGTCGAGAAAACAAATACTTACCCCATATAAATATTAGGGCTACAAAACTTTGAACATATCGAGATAACACATTTTGCAAGAATGCATCAACACAGAGTTTAGGCAGGAACATGTAGAAACTCCAAAACAGATCTGAAAACGCCCCGCCATCGACAAATCTAGGTATTATCGCTTCCACAAAAACAACAGTCATATAAAACATGATCCGTAAAAGAGGACTATCAATGTTTGCCAACCAGGACAAAGACATGACCTATAAAGGATGTGAAAAGAAGGCAACCAGCATAGGAAGACAAGTGGGTGGTTCAAGTTGCCAAGAAAAAGAAACAATTTCGTGAGGAGGATGAGAAGGAGTTTCAGGTATAGTATATCTTTTTCAGGTGAACTTTGTTTGAATTGGAAATAAAAAAATCTAACTAAGAAGTTTCGAACACCAATCTTATTTTATGGTAAAAAGTTAATAAATGGAGTACCTAATTCTCATGTTCTGCTACTAATAGGGGTCGTAATGGCCATTTGTGACATTTTAAGTGTGACTCTATGTGCTTAATATGCATAATAGGTTTTGATGATGACAAAGAGAATAAAGAAAAACTATTATAATCATAAAAGAAAAAAAGTGTGAAGTAAATCGTAAAGTGAGAAGCTTCTAATTTTTCGCACAAGAGAATCAATTGCAAATAATAACATCAAATGAACTGAAGTTTATGCAAGCTCAATTGTGACCATATGCTTTATTTTATATTTTATATAATTTAGATCATAAATGTGTAAATAAGTAAGAGTTATAAGTCTTGATGTGCTAAGGTGATGCACATGCACTAAAACCTTTCAATTCTTTTAGCTTGTTTCATATTTCTTCTAAAACCAATCCTGACAAGTGCTTAATGGATTAAGAAGCAACTTTGAGCAATTAAGAAAGCAAAACTAAATGCTTAAACTTTTAAATCTTCCTACTAATCAATTAAGGAGCGATTTTTCATCATACTCGATTTTTCATCAATTAAGAAGCTGGATTTTGGTTTCATATTTTGGCACAATTTAATCGATTAATATCGCAACCTAATTGATTAGAGTGCGGTTAGACCCATAAGTTGTTTCCTTTTTTAGATAAAATATTCTCCTATCTAAATGAGTGATATGTTTACTTATAAAGCACAAATGTTTCTAAATATACTACTCTTTCATCTCACTCATTCTCCTTCTAAAATCACTTTTATTTGTTATACATTGCCTTAGTATTAAAGGGTGAAAATATTTTTTTTAGAGTTGTTTATTTCCTTTAATGCAATGAATCTGTATATTCAAGAATGCAGTCTTTGCATTTGTAATTGATTTTGAGGTTGAAAGATAATCATGTAAATATCTTGGTGCAAGGAAGGTTGTTAGGTTGAACCTGTGTAAAAGCTCAAGTTTTTTGAAGTAGAAATCTCAAGAGGAGAAACTCTTTGGGACTAGAGTGGGCCATATGGTTTAAGGTCGCACAAATATAGTTTGTTGTATGATCTCTCTAACTTTATCTCTTTACTTTCTAATGATTATTTTTCCGCTACTTAGTATCTGCTTCTACTCACTTCTTAAGATCAATCAACTTAAAATCAATTTATCGCAAAAAGTATTTAAAAATTAAATAACACAATTCACCCCCTCTTTTGTATTTGGAGTGGTTTAATCAACAAGTGGTATTATAGTCTAACTTATGTTATAAGACTAATCATCTTAGGAGGTAGGAACGAATTCAAACAATTAATAAAAAAAATTCCACCCTTTAATGGAGAGAAATATGCTTATTGGAAAGAGAAGACGAAAATATTTATAGATGGGATAGATTGTAATATCTGGGTCATTGTCAAAAAATGGTCCCTTTGTTTCCATACATCTAGTTGACAGTGTTGTGGAAAACAAATCTAGAGAAATTTAGACCAAAGAGGATAAAGAAAATGTGCAATACACTTTGAAAGAAAAAAATTTCATCAATACTTTATATATGGATGTTTTTTTGTGTTTCACATTGTAATTATGAAAAAGAAACGTAGGACACCCTTCAAATTACCCATAAAGGTACAACAGAGGTAAAAAGAGGTAGAATGAATACATTGACTCATGAGTATGAATTGTTTAGAATGAAACATGAGTAAAATATTCAAGATATGGAGAAACAGTTTATTGTTCTGTTAATCACTTGACAACTCTGGTTAAAAAATTTATAAATTAAGATTTAATTAACAAAGTCTTTAAGTGCCTAAACTGTAGTTGGCAACATAAAGTCACTGCGATTTATGAATCTAAAGATATATCTTCTATGAATTTGGCTACCTTGTTTGGAAAATTTCAAAACATGAAATGGAACTAAAATGGTAGGTGAAAATGAAGAAGTTGATAAGAAAAAAAGTCTTGCACTAAAAGTTGCTGATGTGAAAGACATGGAGTCGAAAGATGAAGAATGTCAAAGTGAAAGTGATGAAGACATGTAAATGTTCGCCGTGAAAATTGGTGAACAACCGTTGGTCTTCCAAATTGAAAAAAAATTGTTTTACTTGCAGGATCGACCACACAAATCCTAGGACATGTGCTAATTGATCTTAAACGAAATTTAGGATAACGATGAACACTTCGACAGAGTTCATGATAAAATTACTTATTTCAAATATAAATGGAATTTAACACAAAAGATTAAAGTCGAAAGACTGGTAAAAGATGTACACAGTAACTTGCATAAAGAAAAGATAAATTCTTAATGGAAAAAACTTATTGAATTGCATTGAAATGTAAAAATGTTGTTACATCAACGTACATTCTCACAAACTCGTTTCTCTACACGCGGGTACTTGGAGTATATTGAGGAATTTGTACAAAATTGAACACACACAAATCCTAATATAAGACTTGCTATTTATACTAATCAAAAATAACTGCCATCAACGACTAGCAAACTAAATTGAAACAACTGACATTCTGCGTGTATTCGATTCCTAGAAGCGCTCCACGTGTCTTCTTTGAGAGATGGATAAGAATGAATTTTCCCTCCTTTATTTGAATTCAAATATTCCTGTCAAAATGCCTTCAGTAGTACCTCTGTCAAATCACATCTTCCAATTGCTAAGAAACATTCCTAAGTCCATAAAGTAGTTTCTCCTAGCAAAGGGACACCTTCGACTCACATTCCAAAAATATGGTTCTGGTCGAAGTCATCCGATCCTTCAAAAAACTCTATTACTTTCTTTTCATTTAATTCAGACGTCGAAATTTAGAGCCAAAAAATGTCATTTTCGACATCACTGAAGAAAAAGGCATTTTTTATAATGTCATTCGACGCCTCGAACGAATTTTGCATGCTTTTGATGTCTATTACTATTCCAAAAAACCCATGAGGTCATGATCATCATAGCGGTTTCTAAAACATCTCATCAAAGCACTCCACAATCTATAGCCATCATCATGTTTCCTAGACCCTTGGAAATCGTGCGTTAGGCATTAACTATCCATGTTCCATCAAACGACCCTGGTGGAACATGTATCCCATTAACTATCAGCTCTTTAATCCTGATTTGAAGTCCTTTGAACTTCCACGAGCTTATAAATTGCTTTAAACTTGGCCATTTTAAATTTTACACTTCCCTAAAATCTTTAAGCATTTTCCTTCTCTCTACACTTTCCAAACCTTCAAAAAATACCCAAAATTTCTTCAAACCTCAACAATGGTGTCTTCAATCACCAACATCAAAGACTCTAAAAAGGCCACAAATCTAAAAAATTGAAGAAGATATCTCAACTTCTTTCCTTTGACACATTATTAGCGATAAATATGGTGGGAAACCAGCAGTTCATCCCTGAGCCACTTGAAGAAGCAAAGCGGAAAAT